TCTTGCTTTTTTATGTGGACTGTGATAGTCTATTTTTTGTGACATTCTATAGTTTGTGACATTCTATTTATATTTAATTGGTGACTGTATGTTGGTATGATTCACTCAAGTTTTTTTTTTTTCATCATTTTGTTTTGATATATATCTGAGTGAGCAGGGTACTGTGCTCCTCTATTCACTAGTTGGCAGCACTTCTGTACTCACCACCTATCTCCTGGTGGGTGGGATAGAAAATGAGAGTGAGTACACAGACCTCTGTTAGCTGTGAAGGGCAGCTAAGGGTGAGTCAGGCTCAAATTGGCTGTCATCTATCATAGTCAGAGGCAAGTAGTGGTCCTAAGTCAGTAGCTGAGGCTGTAGGAAGTGCAGGTGTGGTTAGATCATATGTGTATGGTTGCTGTCTCCCACTCAGTTAGACAAAAACAATCAATAAAAACTACCAAAAAAGTAAAAACAAGAGGATAAAAGACACACCACATAAACACATAGGAATATTAACATGAAAAAAAAGAAATGGAAAGGCAGTAACTGAGAAGAAATATTTAAGAAAGACAAAATAAATATAAATAGAAAGAGAGAAGAGAAAACAAATCCACAATATTTGGTAAGGAGGATATAAGAGAAAAAAACCAGAGTAAAAGAAAAAAAAAGAGAAAAATATAAAAAGAAAAACAAGAGATGGGAACAACCAAAAGAAAGAAAAAAGATAGGAACCAGGTAAAGGGAACAGAAATAAAAGCCAAACACTGGAACCTGGCAAGGGAAAAAGAGAGAATAAAAAAACAGAAAGGAAGAAAAAAATAATAATTTTAAAAGAAACAAACAAAGAAAAAATAACCAAAAATATCTGGGAGGGTTGGGGGGGGTGGGAAGAGCAGAGCACCCAGTCTCTGTCAGAGCACAGACCATGATGGAATTCCTGCCTGTCTGGAAGGTGTGTGGAAGTAGGGGATGGACAGACCTCCATTCACCAAGAGTGTGTGGAGCATAAGAGTAACAAAGAAAATGCCACACTTTTCCAGTTATCAGCCTCCAGTGTGTTTGCCTGTGCTGTGCTGTCCTCAGCAAGTGAAGCCTATTCTTAGGTCACTGGGATCTGAAGCTCCCACTTTAAATATCCAAAGTGGCCACGCTGCTTGTAAACAATCAAAATGGCTGCACCACCCAGATGAAAGTTTACAACTCAGTTTATCTCCTTCCTTGATGATTCCCTTTTTAGTTGTCAGCAACCAATACAGTTCCCATTCAGCCCTTGGTGAGCAGGGCCGATTTTTAGTGACTACTCAGGTCATAATACAAGTTGTAAATGTTAAAACTGTCCATGCCATCAGGATAGCTGACTGCCTGCAGTTCTGTTTGTCTCCTTAGTTACTGTTTTTATTCAGGTTCTTCTACTAGTTGGTAGTTAATCCACTTCTGTATCCTTCCCTTCAAAGCTCAGGGCTCCAGGATTATCATCTGTATCTGTTTAATTAGTTTCTATTTTCTATGTTGAAGAGGGTCTATGTACCTTATATGTTTATTCTGCCATCTTAGTAAAAGTCTCTATTTGTGTTGCTTTAAGATACTAAATTTATGATAACTGATTATAGTAGATAATTTATTATAAAAATTATATAAAAATAATGCACCCCAATTTACTCTTAAAGAACAAAATGCAAGAATCAGCTTTGATCTTCTTACTTTTGTCATTTCTGTGAGGTAAGCATCAATGAAGTCTCTTGGTTCGACAGGATTCCAATCTATCTTGTGTTTTTCAATCATGCTAGAAACAAACTGTTTCAATTTCTCCCAGTCTCTAAAGACTGTCTGGTGAGCTCCAGGAAGGAATTTCATTATCCATGGAAAGATATTGTAGAGCTAATTGACAAGACAAAAAAAAAAATCATGGAGATAATATCCTGACACTTTTCTACATTTTAAGACAAATTGCCTTCTCTTTTCATCTCTCTCTTTCATTTGCTTACA